TCCAATGTACGTCACTTCCGGTGAAAAAGGGCAACTAGTTCCCACTCACAGCACCTCACGGTCAAACACGAAAAAAGCCAACTTTGAGGCCCCAAAAGTACATGAAGATCAAATTTTCGACTTATCAAATATATTGCAAGTGTTCTTAAAATCGTCTAATCTATCTAAGTTTAACGAACAATTTAATAAAACATTTCTGTTGTTCTAATTACAAAGTATTGAAAAAAATGTTTAGGTTACATGACTACTTATTTACATTAAAAACGAATTGTCTTAATTAATAAATCTTATGAAAAAATATAAAATATAAAATAAGGCAAGAAAAAGATAATAATCTATAATATATATAAATTTCCCAAAATTTGAGATTAAAAATTCCCAACAAAATCTATTGAGGTTATATGCTTAGTAAGAAGACAGTCCAGCTGTGTGTGAGGCTAGTGCAAAGTCCTCTGAAACCTCACGTGGTTTAAAAGGTCTTCTCGATCCTCGGATACATTTATGTGTACTTCTCAGGATGGCAACCGAGAGTTGTATGCGTAGCCATGAAATAACATTGGCGTACGATTCATTTTTCTTGCGTGAAATCTTCTCTGCAAGAGTTCTAAGGAAGTTCTGACAGTCTGCTCCCATGCCTCCGTTTGTACGCACCACTAAAGGTGTGAAAGTTCCCATTTCCACATCCATAACTCTCTGATTGTATTTCCTTTTCTTCTCATTTTCTTGCTCTCTGAAGATCGTTGCAGTTGGCTTGCCCTGGTTAGACCTGGAGTTGACATGCGTAACACGAACGTCGAAGAATGCTGTCACTCCTGGTGTCCAGAACCCCCCTGCCTTCATATCTAGTCTCGCTTCTTGACCGGTGACTGTAGATTGCAAGTTGAACACTTCATTATCAAGGGGTTGTAAAGATGGCTCACTCTCTACGTCTTTACATACTGTATTGACGTGTGAAGTGAAGAGGTCCCGAATGGTATCATGCCTCTGGGCCACGAAGCCTCCTTTCTTGCAAGACAGTGCATGATTGACTGTGAAATGCTCTCCGCAGGCGCAGTGGCTGGGTAGATTTGGTAGAGCCAGATTGTAGCGGAGGCAAAGGGAGTCCCTGAATTCCTGCTTGTTCAGTGCTAGTCCATGTTCTTCAATTGGTATTGCGTTCAGCCAGGAGCTTGCTCCCTTGTCCCGTATTTGCTGCACTGCTTGAAGTAAATCGGGCGATAATTTCTCGTCAATCTTGTCGATTGTAGACTTAACGCTGGCTCTCCTTCGGGCGTTGATTCCGCGTTTCCTCTCTTCTACTTGCTCCCGCGCTGGGTTGGTAAAGCTTTGAGCAACAATAACATCGACGTGTGACGCTGTAATTTCTACTGAAGCTTTAAATTGCTCTGTTGCAGTACTTCTCAGATTAGTAATTCCTAATCCGCCCTGTGCGGGTGATAGGGAAACCAGTTCTTTAACATCTTCAGGTAGAGGCTCTGTTCGACCAAATAATGTAGGGAGAAATGAGGTATAGATCACATCTTGAATAGGGTCTGCGTAATCTTCGAATGATTCAATCGTTCGCATATAGTAATTGAACTTGGATTTGAATCCCTTAGTGAAGGCCACATAGGCAGCATGTGGTTGACTCCTGCTGATCTCTGTTAGAGTCGCCATTTCGTTGCACCACATGTCGACTTTCTCCTGGCAGTACTGATCTTTAAAGTCCTTAGAACCAATAACCGCACCAAGATGACGTCTTCCATCCAAAGTTATGTTTACCTCATCTCCAAAAATCTTCTTTGCACTCTCTATCACTTCACTACTCTTAACGATTAACCAACTTTTAGTCCCATTAACGATGTATCCATACTTAACTCCTTCTTTACAAAGAGACTTATACCATTGATAGAGTGACTCTATGCGCCCCCCGCCCGCAGAATCATCAGCAAGCCAAACTTGCTTAACTTGTGGTGTCATTTCTCTAAGCCTATGAATTAGGTGGGCTGTATTTATGGCATACCAGGGCATCGCCAAAGGATCACCTTGGGTTGTACCTTCTTGGGAGAGGATCTCTTCTCCACCACTAATGAATAACCTTGAGGGACTTCTATACGTGTTAATGACATACAAAGCAATCTCTTTACAATTTATCTGAATATTATGCATGGCTACTTCCCTGTTCATACGATTAAAAGCATTTGACGCATCGATTAACAACACCGCGTCCGTGCCTTCCTCGTCGAACACCTGGCTCATTGCATGTATGGCAGCTTCTGCTCCAGCAGTATGACCTGCACAGACTTGCAAGGGGCCAGCAGCTTCCTTAATCTCCTCCTTGAACATGGCAGAGATAGTTTTGCCAACGATGCGACGTAAAACCTCTCCCACCCCAATTGGTCTGACGCCTGGGTTCTTCTCCAATGGAATCAATCGACAGGAGGTGTAGCCTTCAAGTAGGGACGGGTGGTAACTAAATTTAAGTAGGTTTCTCGTAAGGGTTGCGATCTCTTCTCTAAGCGTCTTCCCCAATGCAGCAAAATTCTTTGAACACAGAATTCGGCGGTATAGATCTGCATCCATACCTGAGGGACCTGCAGAGCCTTTGGTCTTCAAGGCGGAATCAAAGATTCGCTGCTCGTCTATTAACTCGAAAATGCCTGGTGGAACGAGGTCGACAGGGCCATGCTGAAGACACTCCTCCTCAATCTCAGCGGGTAAGGGATGCTTCTCCTTCAGTTGGGCTATAACTTCATCAGATAGCTTTAATAGTCCAGTCGAACCTTCTTTATCAAGCATTTTTATAGCTGCTGTAATTTTCCCTTGAAAAACTAACTTGGCAAAGATTCTGGAGACGTCTTCAACGGATCTGGCTCTCGAGCATTTAACAAATCTATCTTGGATAAATCGTACTTCCTTCATTAGCATCTTCAAATCTCCCTGTCTCCACAGAGCTAATCTCCGACCTACCGCCACGCTATGCTCTTTACTCTTGGAAGTAGCTGACGGCTTTTGCAAAATAATTGAAGGAAGCACCATAAATGCTTTTAGGGCCACCGAATTCAAATCTGAATTGGAGTTGAACTGCTTAAGCCAGAATATCATTTCTTCAATAAAGAGTTTACCCGCTCTGCCAGAAGGTAGTTTAAAGATATTTTTCCTAAAATGCAAAACTTCGTTATATATTTTATGTATTTCGTCGCAAAAACTCTGGTGGCTCATATTTCCCCACATCTTAGATTTTATCGTTGAGGGCTGTACATTAAATTGTGGTAAACCTGGTTTTATTTTAATTGTTTCCGTATCATGGTTAGGGTCTTGAGTATGCAGATTAGCCTCCTCAGATATATGTAAATTCGCCTCCGCTTCATGATTGTTGACCTCGATATGCAAATTCGCCTCCATAGATAAAGCGCCTCTTTTGTCTTTCACATGCAAATTCGATTTCTTTATGCCATTATTGACTTCACCATTGGCGACTAACTCACTGCTATTGTTGAAAGTTCGCGATATTTCCGACCCATATACCCATATCAACCCTGAGGTTGATATAGGCACTTTAAGTGTGCATGTGGAGGGAATATTAATTTTATATAAGAAACAATCAATAGCCGTTGCTAAACTGCTTAATTGGGAGGTTGTATTCATTTATTATATACACATCGGAAGAGAATGTTAGAGAAACGTAAACAAATTGGCGGCAAGATTTGGGAATTTAAGCGACGATGAAATTCAAGTTTTCCTTGATAAAAATACCCCAAAGTGCACCGAAAGGACGACAAACTTTGAAATAAATGCATTCAACGGTAGGCTAAGAATATAGGTTACAAAATGCAGGGTTTTGTTTTCGCCTTCCTGAAATAAAATGTTCGATACCGGATAGTTATTCAATTTTTTTTATAAATTGTACTCACTGACACTATTAAATAAATTACTAATAAATTCGAAAGTTGTGTTATCAGCACATAATTCATAGGACTCGAGTTCGCAGAGTAACTGTTAAATATGCATGTTTACAGCCATATCATTGCAACAATAGCGTACAAAAGAAATCATTCAGGCATAAGACGATTATATGAATAAAATTATACACCCTACAATTAAGCTTCTGGCTACGCCCATTAAAACAAACAATTTCAAAAGGAACTATAGAATTGCTGAATGTGAATGGATATGTAAATATTAGCTAGCCTTTCACCGTCTATGATTTCATTGCTAATTTTCGATATTTATAAGAAATCTATACTTAATTTCTTTTAGTACCATGGCATCACACTTTCTTTCTGCAAATATTCACCTTTTGAAAGATGTGAAACCATTCAAGGAAACAATCAAAGATCAAGACCCCCCAATCATTCAGCAGAGTAATTATTTAAAAACGTTCATGCTAAAAATCCTCCATGATAACTTGCATCAGGCCTATTTGGAGTACGGCGATAACGAACCTGGCCCTGCCTCTGCAACAACAAAAATGGCACCGAACCACATCCCGAATATTGAATATGACGTCATTATTGTTGGCGCTGGAATGTCTGGTCTTTCTGCAGCGTATGAGTTGAAGAGGGTAGGGCTAAAAGTAAAAATTCTGGAGCAGACTGATCGTTATGGTGGAAGAGTTTTCACTTATGGAAAAGATGCAGGCCTTGCACCTGGTCTATATGGCGAAGGTACACCTACTGAAGGCAAAATTTCTAAAGATATATCGCAATAAACTACCAACAATTTTCTTAGTTGAATTGTTTCTATACCCCTAGTATTTCCGACCATGCCATTAACACAGTTTATTGTCCCTCCTTTTCTGTGAAGACGCTGCAGGGTTTAACTGTATCACAAACTTTTTTGATATAAATCTATATAATTTGCGTTACTTTAAAATTCGCTAAATTATTGGAACTTTTTCGCTTGAATTTTTAGGCGGAGCGATGAGATTGCCTGATGGTGTTGGCTCGCCTGCCACTAAAACCCATTTTATGACCGATGGGTATATAGAGAAATTTGAATTAGAGACGAAAGCGTTTCCAAATTACGATGAAAAAGGCCTTTCCTATATTTACGGACTGAAGGAGCAATCAAACCGTATGAGATATTATAGATCTTAATAAATGTTTACTCTTACATGCTTTAATGCCCAATTGGAATACTAGTTTAATAGCGCAGGGGGCTGAAGGAGCAATCACGTGTATGTGATATTGTAAAATTCAAGAATAATTGAATAGTTTATAACCAACCAAATTTCGTGAATTAGGTCACACGCACACCCTGCATACCTCTGAAAATTAGTTTGAATAGATATGCATATGTATCGGCAAAATAGTTAACATGCACCGAAGACCGTAAGCGACGTTATATTCAGTTATGCAAATGTGCGAACGTAAAAGTTCTAATTGTGATTGGCTAGATGTATAATAATTGCAAATGAGACGATGTATGCTTTTAAGCATGTTGATGTTCGCTAAAAGTAATTAGTCGATTACAATATTTTCAAAATTCGTTATATTTTCGGTATTTTCCATAAATTTTGTAGCATATAAGATTGTCGACAAAGCATCCCATATACCTGCACCTGAAACTATTAATTTTTGTATGACGTCGCGAAACATGCACAACATTGTGAGAAGTTAGAAAACAATTATAACTCGCATGCAATGCCGGTGTAAATTTTCATCTCATAAGATAGATCAAGACTATTAGTCCATGCAAGAGACATGCTTTCTCTCAGCACAATTAATAAATATAGAGATATAAAGCAATCTTTTACAAACAAAAATTTATTTAGTTGAAATTACCAAGCTGCGAGAATAGATGAACTTTTATAGAACTAAAAGTTTTACTGCCTTCAATGAGAGGACGCAGGGTAATCCATGAAGTCGAGCGAGTTTTAGGGTCTACATTATGTGAAATGAACTTGAATGTACATGCATAAGCTATACATAATGATCGATCAGTGTAAGGCCTGGTTCACACTAGCTCCTAAGAATCGGGGATCCATTATATTACTTTCCGATAGTCTCAGAAAAGCATTTTGCACACCAGCGGCCTCAGACAAAGCCCAAAGGGAATCCAAGACAAGTGTGAACCAGACCGTTTTAAGAATAGAATATATTTTAAGCATTCAACTTGCGTTGAAAGAACTTATGCAAAACAGAACTGCAAACTTATTTTCGATTATGAATATGTCACACCTGACACTAAACGTTCAACCAATGAAGGCCTGGCATTTTACGGTTACGAACGAATTTGGCAGTCCCAGCCAATAGGGAACAATGATCTTAACGTAAGTTTCGTTCGTTAATGAGGTTATAAGTCCTTCGGTGCATGTTAACTAATTCAACCACTAGTGTTTGTAACTGATTTGCATATCTATTCAAATCTGATTGATTACAAATTCATTACACATACAGTGGCGTAGCCAGCCTGATGATTTTGTCCCACTATGTAAATTTCGAGTTATTATAATCATTCATGTCTTCAGAAATCTATTGTTTTCACAGTCAGGGAACACCAAAATATCAGGCTGGCTACGTTACTGTTCACATAAATGTTATATTCAATCCAACAAGCTACTGGTGTAAACATTACTTACAGATCTCATACGCCCTAAATATTTCGGTAGCGAACTATTTCTCCCCCACTATTCAACCCTAAATAAAATGCCCCACAGCGCGTCCTTTTTTGGCTGCTTTCTTTCTTCTAAGAGCTGGATTTTATTTTCTTATTTGAAAAAATCGAATTTGGTCATGGATGATGGCACGTTGACCTTGATTTTCCTATATTAATTATACTATTGTCAAATCATATATGTTTAATTTCTCATGTAATGGAATGGATTAATTTTGTCATTGCCCTGCAAAAGAAAGAGATTCTAGCAATTCGCAAAACGGCAACTATTTTGAGCTGTTCAACGACAAATTCTGCAACTGATGTTCCTTAATTAATTTCTTGCTTAGGTTGGGAAAGCAACCATTTTGCAACTGTTTGGCCAGATTGGAGGAAAGGGATTAGTGGCATCCCCATTAACGATATCGGTATTGTATAGCTATACAGGGTATCCCAAAAAAAAGCAACCACTTAAATATGCAGAACATTAATACAGCCCTAAAGCGCAGTAGATAAGCACCTCTGGGAATGGGAAATGGCTATTAATCCTTCATTTACAATGCTAAAAATCATTTTAGCTGAACTATGGTGCAAACCCGAACAATATTAATATTCTTGCATATTTAAGTGGTTGCGTTTTTTTGGGACACCCTGTATATCAACACCTGTAGCTCAGTGGCAAGAGCATTGCATCAGCGTCGCAAAAGCGTAGGTTCGATTCCTGCCGGAGGACCTATGGTTGACTCACTTTTCCATCGACTGTTCCTTGCTTGAGTTTGAAGTGTGTATAATTCCACTCGAATATATATAACATATATTTAGATGATTATTACAAAAAAACAACCGGTGTTGTCACAAATCAATTGATTGCCTGGTTGAATAATACGACCACCATAGACCAGGAAATCAAAGTGTGGGAACGTTGGATCAACATTTGGAGCCAGTTTACATTGGAAAGCTTTCTGGAGAGCAGTAAAGAAGTTATCTGTGCAAAATTAACAAAGGAGGATCAAGATTCCTTGGATGTTACGATGCTTGGCAAACTTTTGCCCTGGTCCAACGATGCGGTTCGTGGATACTCTGTATTTACGTATACACAACAGCTGGACCAGTCATTGGTTGAGTATCTTCGCGATCAACTGGGAAACTGGTGGTCAGCTGATATGCACACCCTAGTGGGCGGCATGCACAGTTTGCCAGAAGCTTTCTTCAAGTGCAAAGAACACCCGTTGGTTACTGACGATATCCAAAAGCAGAAACAAGTTTACAAAATTTGTTATTATTCATCACCCTCTCAGCCAAACAACGATTATGTCATTGTTTCCTGCTATGCAAATCCTTGCAAATGTTTCCTGCTATGCAAAGAACAGGAATCTCACTACACAGCACGGGTAAGTTTATTCAGTTTTGTAGCCTGCATGACGACTTGGTTCTGCTATAAATTTCAAAGGTATTTTAACTATTCATTTCTTTCATTGATTTCACAGTCATCGAACAGCAAAAGTAGCAAAGGAAGACTATTTTTATTATTATTTTTATCCCTGCTAACTTTTGTAACACATATCGCAACACATTATGTCAATTGCCATATGTATGATTGACATGTTAAGCAGTACATTTATGATGAAAATTCGGTAGAAAATATCGCTTTTTGGGCTTTCATCTAGCTCTGATGACTTGTTAACTTATTCTAAACAAAAGATAGTTATCACGTTCGAAATTCCCCTGAAATATTGAAAATGTAGCTATAAATATTACATGCTTTATATTCATAAAGATGTAAAAAAAGATGGGCATGAAATTAAAAATCTGAAAAGGTGTATTGTGTATTTCTACACGCTGAAAAGGGCTATTGTGAAGTTTTTCGCTTGAACATTCAAAAATTCTGCCCAAATTTTCTTTCTGTCCGAACTGAACAGGAAGACAATTTTACTGCGCCGGACACTTCAACCTTCGTGGTTCGTACTTTTAAATGAAAAACATGTTGATGTTTTATCGTTATCAATTATTTGATGTAGGCTGTTATCCTCACCACTCAAGTCAACATATTGCGGCAAATTACTTTTGATCCAATTCTGCCAACCCAGGAACTTTTTCGTTATAACTTATACAGATATTTGTGGGAACCAATGGGTAATGTGCATTTTGCTGGCGATAACATATCATTTACGGCTGGCTGGATTCAAGGGGCTGTGGAAAGTGGCTTTAAATCCGCTTATCAAGTTTACGCACGTCACATGAAGAGAGTTAAACTTGGAGGGAGATGTTAACTACACGGATTTACTAAAAATAAACGGCGTTATAGAAAAACTGCATAGCAAATATCATAATAATGCTTTGTAATTATCTGGGTTAAATAAATAGTGATTTCTTGATCAAACTATGTCCTATAAGAAAACGGTAAAACGGTAAAAATAAATATTTCTTTGGAAAGGATTTGTGTAACAGTTACATGAATCAGAGTCTTGCCGGGATCTGGACTAAAGTCACTCGCCATGTAAATTCAAATAATCACAACGCCTTGCAGAATGGTGTTGATCCTTACGGGCGCTGACTTGCGCCGCAATGCTTCAATTAATTAGGAGGTTGTGGATTTGTTAATAAACAATGTGAAATCATCAGTTCAATCCTCGGAGACGATATTGGAGTATCAATTACATTCACGTTTTCACTAATAATGTTCCAAGAACTTCACAAACTCCAACTGCTACTGTTTTTTTATATTCACAAAAAATTGGATTTGCACTGAAAGATTTTCAACACAATGTATAGCCTGAGCACGTTAAAAACAAGTAAAATTTTCAAAACACAATTTACGGAGACATATGGGTAATACGTCGCATTTTGGTCAAGTCGAATGCAATTCAGACAATAGATGAGATGAAAGTCAATAAATAAGTTTTGTCTGACCCAAATCAAATGTATATAGTCACCCCTGATGAAGACACTAGACCGGAGTGTCGAAACGTTGGGTCGTGAAAGTTAATCTTTGTGTGGTGATTACGTTCATTTATTAAAACCAGAGTAGCGATAATTACGATCGATAAATTTACAGTAGGTTATATAGCTGTACTGCATGCAGGGGCGCCGGAATATCGATAATAACGGGGGCAGATATTCATATATTCGTGTTCGCAGATCGTAAAAACAATCGATTTCAAAAGGAGTTAATAATGCAGAACACGAATATATGAATATCTGCCCCCGTTATTATCTATATTCCGGCGCCCCTGACTGCATTGGTTTTAGTTAATTTTCTACCCTCGTACATTGCAAGTCAACAGACTATAATTATAAAACATAAATCAGAAGTGAATTGAATTCGACATTTTGGGTTGTGTGAACAGACACTATGACCTAAAAATTGTGATAAACGGAAAAACTGAGAGTGAAAGACATAATTTATTCATTATGTATGTAGGAGGAGCTGATTAGGTTGTATGCTTCCTATACCATATGTTTCGTGTCTCAACAAGACGTGGATGAAATGTAATTAGCATAGGTAGTCATGCAATCGCGAGTACAACTGGACTTAATACTACGATCGAGTGGTGTTTGAATATTTTGCCAAAATTAGACGTACATCACAAGTGAAATGGATTCGACAAAATTAGAGCGTATGAGCAAATCTTATAACCAAGGCCTGACAAACCTTTCCATAAGAATTTTTTTTGTTAAATTTCCTTCACTGAAAAGTATGATAAACGGAAAGACCAATATCACAAGGGATAAATAATTTATTCATTACGTGAGTAGGAGGAGCTGATAGGCCTCAAAGCTTCCCATACCATAGTGTTTGGTGTCTCTACAGGACGTGGATGAAATGTAATTAGCATAGATAGTCACGAGATGGCGAGTACACCTCTGGTTAATAATATCAGTTCGAAAATATTCAATCATTACGAGTGCTGTGAATTCCTAAATTCATATAATTATGAACAATATTCCATTACTATTTTATATGTTCATTATAATCATGATATAAAATCGTTACGTTTTCAAAGCCCTCAGTTGTCGAAATCTTTTCGGACGCAATTTCTAATGCATGCATGCATACCTTTCATGTCAAAATATACGCCTGCATGCCAGACTTTTATCAATTCAGTTTGCAGTATTCAGTGTGTTCGTAGTTTGAGTGAAATATTTTCGTTCATTCAGGACTGTTTATATTTTTTATTCAATTAATTTCCGCCGTTTTATTTTGGGCAAAATAATTATTTGTGCTGCAGCACGTAGTTATATACACTGTTCTCCTCTGGACCAATCAGCATCCAGTAGTTTTATCATTCTAATAATAACCAAAGAATTGGAGCATACGACGTTCCATTCTGCTATCGTCATACATTGTCATAAATATATAATGAATCTTTGTTCATAGCTACATATATATCAGACTCATTTATTTCAACTTCAATCTCGAAGGAGTGCAGACAAGGTAACTGGTGAACATACATTGTCTTTGAACCGCAGGAAATTTTCAGGTATGCATTTAATTTCTGCTCGATAAATTGTGAAACATGTTATTTTTTTGCATGAGTGTCTTCCATAGCGTATATGTAATAGTAATACAGGCCGGCATCACACAAAAAAAACATACTATATTATATTAAAACCTGTGATAATTATCGTATACATTTAAATTTATATTAATATACGTCATGGAATGTGTGGAACAACGGCAGGAAGAATTTAACTTGGCGAAATTTATTTTTCAGTTTCTTGTCTCATGTTTCCAATTCACATTTCGTTGTTATGACGTCATAATATTCGGATATATAATTATTCTATATTGCGTACGATTAGAAGGAACCACGTCACAAACTCACATTCTTACATACAAACTTACGCATGCACTTCAGTCATGAAACGCACTTCCTCCTTCACACTTGCTGTTGGAAATAGCTACATGCATGCAGCAACTGCTTCATTTCAATTCAATTCAGATTGAATTACTATATCTAATTTGCAATCATGTTAAAATTGGTGGATTTTTATGTAAAAAATTAATATTCTTTACAAATGAATAACCAATAGCGTTCTTATTAAGGTATTTTGTAACCAATAGCGTTCTTATTAAAGTATTTTGAATTTGAAATTTAAACCCAGAATTAAGACTTATACACGGAACCGAAGTACCGTTCTGTACTTACCTATACGAACGTTTGGTATTGGGTGCATGATCATCTTTGTTCACTATTAATTACAAAAAGCAAATCACAAAACTCGTGGATCATATTACATATAGGTAGATCCTCACAGCTATAAATCCGGCAATTTCTTCGCGTGCAGTGTTCTTCATGAAGTAGATTGTATCATCAATAACAATCAAGCTCGTTTTATAACTCTATTTCGCAGACAATTCGAAGCTTTGCGACCTTCAGACAACTCAAATTTGCCTACTAGAGTGCATTCGCGGTGTCCTTTCCTCCTCTATTTTGTGATCAACAATATAAATAATCATTTTAATTGGTTAACGACGCCTAATTCAACACTGCACGATTTTCAGACAAGATTGACTAGATCAATAAAAAGGTGCTGGCCGTGCTGCCCTACTTGAAGCGGTTTAAACCTCTCAATATCTGCAGCAGTCGCATTAGGGATGACTCTACAGGGTGTATAAAAAAGTATCCCCTATTAAAATCTAGCTTTTTTTCAAAATTAGTTTGAATACTTTACAGCGGATTCCGGTAGACTGCAAAATAAAAAGCGTTCGTAACGAATGTTGTGTCGTTTAGAAAAAGTATGACGTTTCAATTTTGAAATGTCATACAGTTTTGGCGCGCATTCTTTCATGTAAACATATTCGAAACACTTGCGGTATTATAGAATGTGGATAGTCATACGAAAGGGCGATTCTAAAGTCATGGGAAAGCACTTTCTTTTAACACAAGCACTTTTTTAAAACACTTTCTTTCAACAACACTGCATCAATGTCAGAAAAGAAATGGAACGCTGCGTCCATTCCTTGGAAGCAGTGCATGCATGTGTCATTTCAAACGGCATATAATTTTATTAAACGGCACAACTCTTCTTGTTTTGCAGTCAAATGGATTCCGCTGTATTATTGCCACTGTTGTAGAAAATACATGTTTTGCAAACGTAAATAAATATCTGGGTTCTGGCGGTTCAAATAAAACAATGATCTAGAAAACATTCAATTCTAAAAGAAAGTATATAATAATGTTGAATGTGACTATATAATTATTCCCCAACCATCCCCCCACCCCCTTTATAACGTTCCTCCATCATCTTCGATATTCTTTATAACATTCGGTGATATCTATTGATTCTTTTCTTCATTTTTTCTAGTACCATGGCATCAAACTTTCTCTCTGCAAATATTCACCTTTTGAAAGGCGTGAAACCATTCAAGGAAAGAATGAAAGGTCAAGAAGATCCTCCAGTCATTCAGCAGAGTAACTATTTAAAAACGTTCATGCTGAAAATCCTCCATGATAACTTGCACGAGGCCTATTTGGAGTACGGCGATATTGTACCTGGCCCTGCCCCTCCAACAACAAGAATGGCATCGAGCCATCCCCCCGTAATGGAATATGACGTGATTATTGTTGGCGCTGGTATGTCTGGTCTTTCTGCAGCGTATGAGTTGAAGAGGGTAGGGCTAAAAGGGAAAATTCTGGAGCAGACTGATCGCTTTGGTGGAAGAGTTTTCACTTATGGGGAAGATGCAGGCCTTGCACCTGGTCTATTTGGCGAAGGTACGCCAACTGAAGGCAAAATTTCTGGAAATATATTGCGATAATTACCAACAAACATTAATTTTAAGTTGAATTGTTTCTATGCTCTTAGTATTTTCGACCATAAATTTTTGTACACAGAATATTTTCCCTCCTTCTCCATGAAGTCAGTGCGGGAATTGATTGTATCACAAACTTTTCACTCCTATAATAATAGCAATTATTATCCATACTGCTGGGATTCGTTTGAATTTAGCAGTAAGTCACCGTTGTAGAAATGCGCGTGGCTACCTAATTATTGATATATCGCCGTTTGAATTTTTAGGCGGAGCGATGAGATTTCCCAAAGACGTTGGCTCATCTAAAGCTAAAACGCATTTTATGACAGATGGATATAATTATAACGAAATTTAATTTAGAGATGAAAGAGTTCCCAAATTACGATGAAAAAGGCCTTTCCTTAATTTACAGACTGAAGGAGCAAACAAACCGTATGTGCTATTATAGCTAGATTTTAAATAAATGTTTACTCTATAGTATATGCTTTATGGAATATTAAATGCCGCAACATTTTTTTCTCCTCTTTCGTTTTTTCGGCC